ATATGAGTGCTGTTGCTGTGTCAAATCAAACATTATTTTCCTGAAGAAACAGTTGCACCCCCCCACCCGCACCCTTCACCGCACACACCTCACCCGGAACCCCGCATCCCGCACCTCGTCCACATGCTTAATTTAATTATGTTAATTTACACAATGATTACAATCAGCTGAGCTTCATGTGTGAATGTTTGTGAACGTTGCCGCCTCTACTGTTGTGAAGAGCACTCCAATACTTATGTATACCCAATGTTTCATATTTAATTGTTCTAACAATAGTTATATAGAAATAAAAAGAAAACAAATCTTGTAACTTTGTCAACGACAATATTATCTTTTATTATAATTAAATGAATTTGTGTAATAAAATAAAGCATTTCGTTGCACACGCCATCTCAATTGCGAGCCATTCACATTCCCGCCACGTATTCCACACTACTTCATGATTTTACGTAACCCTCTTTTGGAAAATAGGTTAAATGTGACTTAATTTTTCAATTTTTCTTAAATTTGTTTTTTCTCTTGTTATTGACAAGATCATGAATAATAATCTTATATATTCGGGTATATGTATCGTGAGTTTAACATAATATTCAATATATTTAAAGGAAAACAAACAAACTGAAGCAGAGAGGATAATATTTGCGGTCGCGGAATGATTTACGTCGGAATCGCGAAACCGGAAGACAGTGCGAAGTGTCATGTGCTCCATGTGACGCCGTGAAAGCGGCGCTTGCTGTGTTTTACTTTGTTTAGAAAATTTATATATGTTGCTTCTATGTATTTCTTTTATTTTAAAGTGACCTTTCAATTTTTTATGTTGAAAAGTCCCCAAAGTAAATGACCACATAGCTTTAAGCTATCCTGCCGGGGGCTGCGGGAGTCCGCGGGGCGTGCGCAACCAACCTTTATAACTTCAAAAGCTTTATGGAACTCAATAAAGCCACTCGTTAACCTTATATTAATAAAGTTTATGTGGATCCATTAAATGTTGACGACAAAGCTCGTTACAGCAAAGCATTATGCAAACTAGAAAGATAATTTTTTTTTTTAAAGGAGCAACGATTCATAGCAACGGGCGTGCTGCTGCGCTGTGGTCAAATCTTGCTGAAAACGTGAATCGAACGTCACTAATACACGTTTTAGAAGTGTGGAACGCCGAGCTGGACAGGTGTTATTATAGTGAGCGGCGGCTGCGCTGCGACCACCAGCGCGGCGACCAGTGCGACAACGCCACATTATTCAACAATACTAAGAAACAGTACATGCAAACTAGGTATAGCTATAATATAGTATCATAAAAATACAAATGTCTCCTAGATTTTAGCTATATATGTGTGGACTGAAGTGAAACTTGTGAATCCTATTGATAATTATAGCGAAGGAAATAAAACTTTGATAAAACATATATACTCAAAAAAGTACTAAATTCTGGATGTGTAGTAGGTATGCGCGATAAACTCGTTTAGATTTTATCTAAATTGAAAAACATTTTGATAATTTATAATATTTCGATTAATTGCCAATATTGAAGCAATGTGTTTGTACAAGGTGGTATTGTTTTATCGGTTCAACTATATATGTAAATGACGTATTTCTTGGAGGTATTAACTTGCTAAGCGGTGCTATTGAGAGCGTCGGCAGTGAGGTGGCTGCTGCGAGGAGACCTCGCGTACTCATCGTACCACCACTACCACTCAACCGATATGCTCACTGTCAACTTAATCACCTGTCAAACAAACGTGATGTCATCACTTAATTATTTATTGTGTTTGTCTATAACCAGTTATTTGTTTTGTTTTAGTTAAAAAATATTGTTTGAAATATTAATCAATTCATTTTGTATAAAAATGTATATAATTAGAGAGGATGTCATGTCAGTGAGTGGAAGTCATTGTGACATTCAGCAACAATCATTTCAGTCAGCGGCGTATTTTCGATAATAATAGATTACGTTTCAAATTGAAATTGTGGAATCCCTCAATTTGTTTTCTCAAAGGCTATGGTTTTCAGAATCCAAATTATTTATTCGGAGAAAAACATAACTTCTTTACTGAGAAATAGACAGCGAACTTCGACTCAAGAATTCAGTTGATGAAATTTCATTTTAAGCTTAAAATATAAATTGAATTACCTATTAGATTAAATAAGATGTTAAATACATACTTACTAATTTTATTTTAAAATATTATATAAAAATGTTAGAGTTCATAATTAATAACAATATATTGTAAATTTATAAAATAAATAAAACTATAGATTAACATCTTCCTACATTCTCCTCTTTTCATACTTACCTCTAATTAAAATATAGCAATGTATACGTTATTCTGCATGACAGCACAGTCGCCATTTTGCCGAGGCAACGTTTCAACCGCCTTAATTACTCGCGGTCGCGGAAGTAACGCGCCAATTTATCTCATCTTAGTGCAGCTCGGCTCGGCTTTGAACTTCGCTACCCGCTACCCGCTACCCGCTACCCGCTACCCGCTACCCGCACACTGCAACCCCGCTCCCAGAAGTTACGCAACTTGTTATAACTTTTACTGCGATTTTACAATCTTCTTTTAATTTTACAAAATTTTAATGTACACAATTCCTTTTAGTAAGATAAATATTGCGGAACCGAGTTTGTAAAATGAATTGATAAATTCAGAGTTT